CATTCATTTGATCAAAGTAAAACCCCTATAAGCATGATTTCTATTAAAGTTGATTTTAACGACTATAGGCATGGTATCTAGTTATTAAAAGCTGATTTATATCCTACAGGCATGACTTCTAATTGTGTGAAAGTAAAACATGCAGATTTTATTTTAAACCAAAGCAGATCCTATAGGCATGTCATCTAACATATCATATTTGAATCAAAATAGACCCCATAGGCATGTTATCTATCCAATTTACACACAATATACAACTACCCACCCTTTTCCACCAATCACCCCGATGTTTATTTACAATAATTATTACAGACCAAGAATTAAATAAAAAATTACATGAATAGAGCAAAAATTAATCTATATGAGCCTAAAGCATGCCCAAAACAGTCATGGTGTACCAAGCCTTTACTGTCTCAAACACCCAAAGTTCTATAGCCCAATTCATGTCTAGGTATGTCAGAGTTCTCTAAGGACCTCAAGGGTCCCGGGCAGTGCTCACACCCAAACTTTCTTTAAACAAAGATTGATATGTAGTGTAGAAGTGTCAGCCCTAATATGCCAGAGTTCAAAGAGATCTCAAGGGTCTCAAAGCAGTACACATATTAGAGGGGCAGAACTTAGCAATCTAAGAGTAAGGTGAGAGTGCATAATGATTTGAAATAGTTTGGTAAATAATATAAAGAAGGTCTTAGGAATGAAAAGAGTTTTCTGAAAACCTGTACCGGTTTGAATGGAAAACAATTTGAGAAAACATGAAGAACATGTTGGGATTAGAGAACAAGTCACAGAACAACACAGTTTCATAACAGACTTCACACAAGGGAAAGGGTTAGGGGGACACCTAGAATGCACCTTAGTTATGGCAAACAAATACACAGATTCCTCAAGAAGGCAAATTAGTTACAAAGATATGTTGAGAATACACAGGTCTTAGACGCAAACAGGATCTCATTGGTGAAGTAGAGCAAGTTAGCCTCAGATGTACAAACTAGACAAACACTTCATGAAGCATTCAAGGTTCTAGAAATACTAATCATATACAAACAAGCAGAATCTAGACATGCTGGGTGAGATAGTAAACACACAATGCAGCTTAGACATACTAATGAACAAGTTATCTAAAGCAGTATTGACATGTTAAACAATATACTAGTTATATCTTTTAACAGAACAAATAAACTATAGAGCTTTTGAGAGCGTGAGAGTGTGGATAAACTATTGTTCGTATGTCAGAAGTAAGGAGTAAAGGAGAGCATATATAGTAGTTAAGAATAAGGAAAAATAAGGTAAAGGGAATCAACCCTTCTGCAATTAAGGAAACCACAAAATCAATTATACATCATTTACTATAATTTTCCCTTAATTAAGGGTAATCAACCAACGGGAAAAGCAGAACACATTTAAGGAAAGAAAATTAAACGAGCAATTAGGGGTAAATAGACAAAATTTTAATTAAGGAAATGATTGGTAAGGAATCAGTAAATCATAGTTAATTGAACAAGGTAGGAAAGCTACTCAGGATTATGAATAAAGGAAATAGTCAGGAATAGGACTTAACAAAACAAGCGGATAAATCAAGAATCCAAATCAATTACTGATTTAAGGAGAAAAGTATAGGTTTACCATGAATAGGCAAAAAATGAACATAGACATACAGAATCAGTAGAAGAGTCGAACCAAAAACATCAATAGAGGCACATTAGGATTAAAAGTCATCGAATTAGGCTAAGAAGAATCACAGAAACCAAGACATAGGACAAAGTCAGTACCCAAGTAACCTAGACAAACTTAGAATCCAAACAATAATGTCAAAAAATTAGGGCTTTTAGCATAAATAGGTTAGGGTTAAAGCAATCTTCATGAAATCGGTCAAAACACACAAGAAATAGAAGATTAAACACTCAAAATCATTAAACGTTTTTTAGAAAGAAAATTTTGGGAAACCCTAGGCATAGAAATCAAAACCTGGAGTATTCTAGTATTTAAAAATCAATCAGTAGTAGAGGGAATAAGAGAAACTTAAAGAAAAATCACAGAAACTCGCAAAACATTTCAAGTATGCAGAGATTCAAACAGCAGATAGCAAAGAAACCAAGATATAGTGCTAAAATCAGTTGACAGTAAAGAAACAAGAGGTCTTTAAAGAAAAGTCATTGACAAACTCATAACCCTTCCAGATCTACAAAGATGGGACGGATTCATGTCCAAAGATTAAGGTTTTGCAAAGAAAAGGGAGGGGTAAAGAGAACCTGGTTTTGAACCAGAGATTTGAACCATGGGATTTAAGTAGAAATCACTCGCAAACCATAGACGAACCCTTGAAGAGCTTTGAACGAGATCTGGACCAGATCTTAGAGTTACTTCCACAAGAACCACATAATCGAACAACCAAGGGGATAAGAGACAAGTAGAGGCTTCGTACAGCCATATGAGGGATTAATGGATTAGGGCTTGGTTTTGGTTGACGACGATTGGAGATTAGGGTTTAGGTTGAGAGCATTCGAGAGATGACAGGAACAAATAACGGCGGTGAAAGAAGGAAAATGATTAGGGTTTGGGGGGTATAGGTTAGTTTATTTTAGGTAAGGAGAGATCTGAACCGTTGATCAAAATGATCAACGACCAGGATCTAACAAGAGCCGGGTCTGGTAAATTTGTTAGGGTCAGACGAGTATTGGGCCTGGGGCTTTTAGGCTGGTTTAGGGGTTAAAATTAGGCTTAGTTGATAGGCTAAGTTTTAAATAAAAAAATGCTATTTGTTAAATACATAATTAATTGCTAAAATAATTTTAAAAAATGGTTAATAAATTATAAAAAATGATTTTAATGCATGAAAATATTTTAGAGTAATTACTTAATATTTAAAAAATATAAAAGGCTATTTTTCTAGTAAAATAATGTAATAATGCATGCATAGGCTATAATTGCAATTGTATCTTAAAAATACAGATATGGCTATTTGTGCAATAATTGAAACTTAATACGAAGCAAAGGATAAATTAAGCCACAAAATTATTAAAATCATTTTGTGATGCAGTTTAACGATTGTTTTATAAAATAAATGCTGGGAGAAATTAGTTAAAAATATTTAAAAATACAGAAATTGTATGAAATATACTAATTAATGCCCACACATAGTTTTGAAAATATTATAGGAAAAATTGGGTATCAACAACCCACTCAAAAATAATCAAATTACAACACAAATACCGAAATTTACCAAACCCGACCCCCGGGCCCACGTCTCGAAATCCAATAAAAATTAAATCAATAAACTCTTTATCCTCTCACGAGTTCATCCATTTCAAAAGTACCAAAATTCGACCACAAATGACCCCTCAAATCCTTAATCAAAGGTCTCCAATCTCAAGCCATAATTTCTTCAATATTTACCCACCAATTTCCACAAATATCAAACCTAATCAACGAAACAACACCATATGAACGAGTTTTATGTTCAAAAATCTTACCTCAATGAAGTTCCCTTGGATTCCCTCTTCAAAATCCCCCCAAAAGCTCCAAAATTGATTTAAAAATGGTGAAGAAAGGCTGAAATTCGCGAAGGATGAAATATATACTTTCTGACCCAGGCTTCTCGCACCTGCAGTCCCTACACCGTATCTGCGGCCAAAGCACCGCATCTGCGGTTTTCACTTAAAATCTCACTTTCGCATCTGCGACCAAACGCCCGAACCTACGTTATCGCAGGTGCGCTCCAGTAGCCGCTTCTGCGGTTCCAGCTGACCTCCCTCTTGGCCTTTTATGCGGCTTGCCTTCTGCTTCTGCGGGCATCGCACCTGCGGCCTCCCAACCGCAGGTGCGATTATGACAGCAACAATAGACTTCAGCTGCCAAACTCAACTCCAAAATCTCCCGTCAACCATCCGAACCCAAGGCCCCCGGGACCTCAACCAAAAGCATGGATAAGTCATATACCACTATCCAAACTTATACCAATCTTCAAAACACCTCAATCAACATCGAATCAACCAAATAACATCAGATTCAAACCTAAGGTTCTAAAAATTTTCCAAATTCCGCTTTTGATAAAAAAACTCTATCAAACCACGTCCGAATGACTTGAAATTTTGCAGACACATCCCAAATGACACAACGGACCTACTGCAACTCCCGGAATTCCATTCCGACCCCTATATAAAAATCTCACCTATCAACCAAAATGTCAAAATTCCAATTTCGCCAATTCAAGCCTAAATCTACTACGGACCTCCAAAACACATTTCGATCACGCTCCTAAGTCCTCAATCACCTCACGAAACTATCTGAACTATCAAAATTCACATACGAGTCCTTTTTCACATAATTCAACACTCGGTTGACTTTTCCAACTTAAGCTTACTCAAAAGAGACTAAGTGTCTCAAACCTTACTAAAACCTCTCCGCACCCGAGCCAACCAACCCGATAACACAGAATACAGCTAAACAAGACAATAAGAAGCAGAAATGGAGAAAACAGAGCGGTAACTCATGAAATGACCGGCCGGGTCGTTACAGTGTAACTGTGTATTAACAATACAAAGATACAAATATTTAAAGACAAATCGATCTTAAGATAGGGAATTATTATATATATTTTTATTTATTACATAACCATCCATACATAACTATTCATCAAATAATAATTCCTTTATTGTTGTTTAGCGCATAAGACTTTTAACATTATGATATATGCATAGCTAGCCTCTGAATAATGATTCCACTAACGTCTTTAAGAACAGAATATAAAATTGTGAAATAAACAAAAAACTGAACCAAACATAATCTTTCTGTAATTATACCCATTTGTTTATTTAAAAAAATAGTACTAACAATTTTGAGTATGAAAAAGAAGAAAATGAAAAAGTAAAAAAAATTATAAAAGAAGGTGACGAGAGGGAGAAAAAAAATAAGCCCCCAAAAATTGGACATCTGCTACCCAACTTGGCAAAGCCTTTAGGAGCCCCTGGGGTTTCTTCTTCAGTTCACTCCGTCCATCATCTCTCAATTCTCAACTTTTGCCCGTCGCTTATTTTATCCTTCGGCGTCCTCTCTTGCCTTTCTTCAAACAGGTGGGGGACAAACCACAGCGTTCCTCTTTCATTCTTCTTCAGTATTATCCAAACAACTTCCCCCTTTACATTAGCTGCTGTGGAAACCCTAGAACTTATCCTGATTGAATTTTGCCCTAGTCCTCTTCTTCAATTGGCTGATTCTGATGCGTAAATTCATATGATCTGTTGCTTCGAGGTCAGAAGTTTCGATTTGCGGAATCTACAATGGAAAATCAATTACAACTAGCCTTGTTGTCCAGTCCGACGGCGTCGTTCATGACCTTGTTCGACTCGCAGAAGGAACTTCTCCGTAACCAGATTGATCAGCTCGAAAACATCGTTTTACGTCAATGCAACCTCACTGGCGTCAATCCCCTCTCTCAAGAGATGGTTAGTCTTCTTATCTTTATTGTTTTTACAAAATTATTTTATTACTTAATTCTGTTTATGGTAATGTAGGAACTGGCATTGGTTAAGTTGATAGTTCATTAAGTTGTATCTCAATTAGTTAACTTAGATTCGCCTTTACTGTACAAAAATGGTAATGATTTTGTGTTGGTCATAAGCAACATACTTTTTGTGGTTGTACAATTGAAGGATTAAAAATAGTTTGAGACTAGCAGTCTTTATTCAATCTTTTTCTTTTTTGTGTTGAGGACTAGCGTGTCTTTTAGCTTCTGTTTATCCAGAAGGATAGAAAAACACTAGCTACCTGTTGTATTACATTTGCGTTCAGAAAATTTAAGATCTCGGGTGCATGGTAGAAATTTATTTCACAGAAAATATTTTCCTTAGTAAAATTATATTCCTGTGTTTAGTTACCTTGAATTGCGGAAAATATTTTTGCTAAGGAGAAAACTTATAACTTCTGTCACTAATGGGCGAATGTCATTATCTATTATAATTAAATTTAACTATTACTCTATATTATTTGTTTCAATCAGTATGTAGACATTGTTGTCAACTTTTGACACTCAAAGTGCAAAATTTTCCCCTTGACTGATTGCTCATTCATTTTTCTTCCACTGTGCAGGCTGCTGGAGCTCTTTCAATAAAAATTGGTAAGCCCCCATGGCCGAAATTAAATGATGATGCTTTTGTGGTCAAGTTTTAAATTTGATAGACTTGGATCCTTTGAGAATGAAAAAACAGTTGGTCACAGTGACATGTTGATTGGTTACTGTATATTATCTTTTGCATATTGATTATACTACATAACTATGTTTGTTTACGTTTGAAGGTTCTATTTTATTTTATTTGCTTTAGTAATAGTTTACTTTCTTTTTGTTGCCAAGTACATCATTGCGTCATCTACCAGAATTACTTGTCTTGATGTTTAATGGGAACTAGCTTAGTGATCTAAGTGAATTCAGTTGCTACTGTCATAGTTTTCTCTTACAAGGTGATCTTTTTATCCAAATTGCATGTAATATGTCTTTTTGATTATTATCGTAAATGATGATCTTGACTTCTTAAACTTTTGTACGAGCTACTCTGATTCCATTTGCATTCTGATAGTTTAACATCTCCTGTTGCAGGCAAAAGGCCACGAGATCTTCTAAACCCCAAGGCAATAAAGTATATGCAGTCTGTTTTCTCTATCAAAGACTCAATCAACAAGAAGGAAACCCGCGAAATTAGTGCCCTTTTTGGTGTCACAGTCACACAGGTTTGTTCTTTTTCAATTTGAGTAATCCATTCCCCATTCCACCTGGCTATAATCTTGTTTAAACTTCTCTACGTTTCTGAATGTTTGACTATTTCACATTTGATTGGATTCCTTGGCTTAAATTGGGTTAGGATCATAGATCAATAAGAACAGTGGTTTGACTTGTAAATTTTAGTATCTCACATTTGTTTCATGCAATGGTGTGTTGTATTCCTATGCTCATGAGTCATGATTGTTCAAAAGATTATCTTTTTTCTTGGAATCACCCTTTAAACTTCGAAATGAGCACATGTTGGTATATTAGTTGCACCATCTTTCTTGTTTCAGTTTTTCTATTTTGGATATTAGGCACACTATTGCTTTTGAGAAATGAGAACAGCTTGTTATGGAATTATGCGTCTTATTATGTAAAGTATAGCTCCTTAGATATATGTTCCCCTTTTCTTCTTTGCCTTTCTGGCGATAATCGATATGTGTATGGACGGATTCCTTAATCCATTCTGCATAGTCATTCAGTGGCTTTCCTTGGTGCAATTTTAGTTAAACGATGATATAAAATTTGTGCATTCTTTAATTTCATCTTCTGACAACTTACACAGCTTGTTTGAATACCATATCTGCATTTGCAGGTGCGTGACTTTTTTACAGCTCAGCGTACAAGAGTTAGAAAGTTCCTGAGGTTGTCTAGAGAGAAAGCTAGCATATCAAATGCATCTATTGAAGGGCCTTGTCCGATCCCATTGAGTTCTGAATCTGATCCTAGCTCACAAACAGAGCCAGTTCCTCTAGACAGCGTGGCTCCAACCTGTACAGAGGAGGGGCCATCTTGTTCTACACAGGATGATGTCCTAACTGGCATAGAGGAGACAGATAAACATTTTCTTGATAATATCCTTACTTTAATGAGAAAAGAAGAAACCTTCTCTGGGCAGGTTAAGTTGATGGACTGGATCTTGGAAGTACAAAACCCTTCCGTGCTATTTTGGTACTTGAGAGTTATGATCGTTGAATTTTAGTTATATACTAGTTTACTCCTTTCCCAATATAATTGGTTTTCTTAATAACATATTTGTAGGTTTTTAGCTAAAGGGGGTGTAATGATTTTGGCTACATGGTTGAGTCAAGCAGCTGTCGAAGAACAAACCAGTGTTCTTAATATCATCCTTAAGGTCTATATTCATCCCTTAATTTTAGATCTTTGGCCCATAATATCAACTTTTTCTGCAACAAATTGTTGTTCTAATGGTTGTAGGTACTATGCCATCTTCCGCTACACAAAGCATTTCCCGTACATATGTCGGCTATACTGCAGAGTGTTAATAGACTGCGATTTTATCGGACTCCAGGTGTGTTGTCATCACATACGACTGCGCCTTATTTTATCTTTGGGTATCTTTTTGCTACAAAAGACATTAAAAAATTTGAACTGTTGATCTCCATCTATGTTGCGCGGACTCTCCAAAATGTTGCCGCATCCGTGTCGGATTCTCCAAAAATACACTACTTTTGGAGTATCCGACACGCACCCTGCGACATTTTCGGAGAGTCCGAGCCATGGCTTATACCTATCTGGTAGCTTGGCTGGAAACTTCACATTATTGAGATATTACAGAAGTATCTGAAACTAAGTTGGATATATGGGAATACGTGTCAAATGAAGTCGGCACAACATTTTATACCAACACTGAAGCATCTCTATTGAGCTATTTACTCTGTGAATCATACATTACATAGTGCTGCTCTTAAGAAATATTCCTATAAGGCATGTGATATTAGGACATTACTTGGAAATCACTGTACTGGCACTGTAATCATTTTCATTAGATTATCTCAGATGATTTGTTGTGTTTTTTTGCTGTCAAATGAAGACATTGTTCTGGAAACTACTGCACTGTCTGTACACTCAATTATATATCTCATTGTCTCAGATGATTTTTGGAGTTTTGATGTGTAAAATATTTAAAGGGCCTGATTTGATACTTTAACTGATCATATTCTGAGAGACATTTGGAAAGACTCAGGGAAGAATGGTGTCATCTCTAGGCTACATCAGTAGTTTAAAATTTGCTAGATAAGAACTAAGAAGGCACTAGAATTGATGTGCTTGCAGTTCCTTTTATTTGTTTCAGCCACTCATAATAATTTAGTCTAATATTTAGGTGGAATTTCTACTGTATTTTCATGAGACTTTTGTACTGCACCATATATATACTTTTTTTGGGAAGAGGGGCTGGTTGAGTGTGATGAATCCTCCTTTAGCCCCATCAGTGTTTTGGATCTCATTCATCTGATTTGAAGATCAGATATCTCAAACAGGGCAAGAATTTTGCTTGCAAAATGGAGCAAAATGTTCGCAAAGAGCCAGGCTATGAAGAAACGTAATGGGATTAAATCGGCTAGTGATGTGCAGGATGAGTTGCTATTGCAGCAGAGGTAAACTTTGGTTTGGCCTCAAAGAACTGTTTAACGTTTCTCAGTTATCAACACTTTTATTGTTTGCAGTATTGGTGAAGTTATGGGCGACGAAATATGGAACTCAAAAGCTGAGGACGTCGTAAGTTCATTGATAACTTAAATGAATTTGGTTAAGAAGATTCTGGGTCTTTTATTGGTAATTGTTTTCCTTCCTTTTGGTCTTCTAGGGAGAATCTCACGCAAACCTCTGTGGACCTTCAGAGTATTCGAGGTCTGTGTGTTCTTACTGCCTTGCTCTTTGTAATTGTTGATGAATTTCTGAACACACACCTCTCTTTCAGGAAGTTGGATTCTTCACATCCAGTTAAATTGCTCACAGCATCTTCAGATGACTCTACCAAGAGGCTTAATAAAGGAGCTTTAGCGTCTAGTATCCTTAGATGCCTCTGTGGTTAATTCAGTTTATCAATATTTATGAAAGTATAAGGTCCTCATTTGTCTTGATTGAATGATGGCTCCTCCTTCCATGGACAGTAAACTGTCATCAGCAGAAACTTGGACTTCTCATCTATTTCCATGCTCTAAATAATGAGTATTCAGAAGTTTCAATATGACATATTCATCAAATAGATTCGACCATATTAGAAAATAGCTATGTTTCTTTTCTCTCTTTTTCTGTTTTCTTATCACTTGCACATTGTTGAATGCCTTAGCTACTTCAGAAACTCGAGAGCGAAGAAAAGTTCAGCTAATGGAACAACCAAGCCAAAGAACGACAGGAAGGAGCCTAGCAGTAGGAAGACCCGCAACTGCAACTCAAGGCCGCCCGCTTTCAGCAGATGATATCCAAAAAGCAAAAATGCGTGCTCAGTTTATGCAGAGTAAATATGGGAAAGCTAAAAATGATGAGAGTTCTCGGGTGAAAGCTGAAGCTCCAAATGGAGTTACCACTCCACAAGATGATATCTTGCAGGGAGATCCAAAATTGCTAGGTTGTCCTAAAGATGATGAACATGAAAAGCTTGATAGTGTTGCCTTGAAAGGGTTCAAACAACAGGAAAGTCATCGCAAGTTGAGTTTTGACGTAGAAGAACCTCCATGGAAAAGGTGCAGGAGAATGCAGATCCCTTGGTGCAAACCACCAGGTAAATTTTCTTTTGTTTTTACTGAAAGGCTGTTCTTGCTAACCTGTAGATCTCAGAAAAGGAGGAACATTAGTTTTGTTCTTGATCGGCCGAAAAGAGGAACATTAGTTAATCACTTAATATTCTTAGGCTCTAGGTTTGCTTCCAAATTCGATGAAATCAGATCATAACCAATTTCTATCTTGTCTAATATTACTCTTTACTCAATTTCTACTCCCTTTTTATGAGAAATGGTAAGTTTTATAAAGTCAGCCGCAACTAGAAAGTGCTGAAATATCAAAAAACCAAAAGAAAACCTCATTCTAATCTTACAGGGATTCTAATAGGCTAAATATCGATTCTGCATCATTTTCGAATTCCTCTTTACACCACAAAGAAAACAAAAGTATACGCTTGGTCTTGATTTGCTGGATCGAGCATGCTTTGTCTTCAAAACATCTAGCATTTCTTTCCTTCCATAGGGTCCACCAAATACATGCCAATATGGTATTCCGCCATAATTTTTGTCTTCTATTTCTTTTCCTTAGGGACCAGCATTGTAGCAATTGAGTTGTAGGCATCACCCTTCTAAGCTCCACCATCCGTGGCGGAGCCAAGATTTTTATTAAGGGGTGTCAAAATATAAAAAAGTAAACATTACGAAAAAATCAAGGGGATTCAACATATAATAAATATACATAATTTTTTTTAAACCTACCTACACGATGTATTTTTGTTGCGAAGGGGTGTGGACACCCCTTGCTATAAGGTGGCTCCGCCACTGCCCACCAAATTCAGGAAGATTTGCCAAAGTTGCCCGTCGCATCACAGTGAACAAAAAGGTTTCATTTCCGCAAAGAGCACCTGCTACAAATACGCAAGATGCGATTGCGACATGTCTCCATAGTAGTAGTTAGCAACTCAGCCTTGGTCTTTAACTTATCAAAAAAGGAAAGTTAGCATCGGTATCTAACTTACAAAAAAAAGGAGAAAGAAAAAGAAAAAGAAAAAGTTGGCTTTGGTCTCTAATTATATTTTTCACGGTAGTTGACCTAAAGATGCGCTGGTGTCTCTTGTGATCCATAGATCCGTTACTATAGGAACCATTAGCATGGAAATATGAATGCTTCTTGGTAAAACTAAACTATAGAAGCGTTTCTGAAGCAAACAATTGTTTTTCCATTGTTAAACTAGCAATTGGGAATCTTATGTGTGTGGTTTAGATTTTAATCTTACTAAGCAGCTTTTTCAATTTGGTTTTTGCGTCGTATTTCAAAAATCTCTTGGAAATTATGGGTTTTCTGTGGAGCAGTTGATTGATAAGCGTGCGTTTGCATTGTTAAGGAAATCCTACTTGCAGTTAAGGGCCGACCGGAGGAATATGTTCCTAATTATGCTTAAAATTAAGCAGAGAAGAATAATCAAAGAAAGAAGCAGTGGAGTAAAAGTTAATGGAACTTCGTGGGAGACCCGTCTCGGGAGGGTATCAATCTATTTTCTGATTTTTACAGGCAAAATACATAAGTTACCCCCTAAACTATGGACCAAATCCCTGTTACACACTTTCTGACCACGAAAATCATCTTATACACTCAACCTTTCCTGAGTGTGCCTAATACACCTTTTTTTTCTTGACTAATTTTTCAAAATATGTGTAAAGTCACGCACTAATAAGATTGTGACACATGTTATTATTCTTTTAAAAATTAAAATATGTAAAATTACAATTATACCCTTTACCATCTTTCCCCTTGCATCTCTTTCTCTTCGGCGGCGACAACAACCAGACCTCTGCCATCTAATTCAAACAAAAACTAGAAGCCCCAATCAAATGCTCCTAGCTTCTAATTTCTAAATATTTTCGAGATACAAAATTCGAGTACCAAATATTGGAATCTTTTGCAAAAAACTTATTAAGATGTGATCCAAACGCCAAAAACAATTAGTTGTACTAGAATATTGGTTCTTCTTAAGCAAGCCTACAACCCTCTCCAATGGTATATAATGGTAAGTGGGTTCCTTCATGGTTGCCCCCAACAGGTGTAAGGAGAAAAAGGAAGAGAAGAGAAAAAGGTGCTTCAATGGTGATGGTATGATGATTTTTCGACAGGTGCGTGTTGATTGATTTTAGGATGGTGGAGAAGTTATGGAGCATCAATGGTGGACGATGGAGAGGTCTGGATGGGCTCTCGACGGGCAGGTGGTGGATTAGTTTAGAAAAATAAAAAAGAAAGAAACTAAAAAAAAGGAAAGAAAAAAAGAAATTTTATTGTAATCGTTGGATAAATTTCACTAAATCTGAACCGTTTAAATAAAATATCAGACATATAATTTTTTAATGTTCAGATGCCTCATTTTGTTTGTAAAACACGCGCTAGCCACGTAGGCAAAGAGGTGTGTATTAGACACACTCTGGAGATGTTGAGTGTGTAAGATGATTTTCGTGGTCAGAAAGTGTGTAACAGAGATTTGGTCCAAAGTTCAGGGGGTAACTTATGTATTTTGCCATTTTTACATGATATTTACTTATAACTGCATATAGTGTGATTTCATAAATTATCAGATTGAGGCAAGAACACTATAAATTAAGGTAGGAGTATGCTGTATCACCTAATCTTTTATATTTTGACCTTTCGTTGGCATAAACTTTTTACAATAGGCTCGATCACTAGGTGCAGATTACACTATTTTTTTCCCTGTTTTTGGTTGTTTTAAAGTTGTGGAAAATGCTCTATACCAAAAAAATAAAAGCAAATCATTGTCCACATCAAAGGCTCATTTAAGGCGCGTTTAAGCCATGAAACTCAGAAAAGCTAAGGGAAAGCACTTCGCCTCACTTGAGCTGCCCTTCAATGTAGGCAAGGCACCAAGACGTGCCCCTTATTGCCCATAAGTTGTATCTTGAATGGAGCAATACTAGACTACAAATATAATTGCAAATAAGTGCATTAGTTGTTAAAGGAAAACAATATGAATGAATTTATTATTTTTTTCTTGAATTACATATATATTTTTATTTTTTCTTGCCTTGCGCCTTTTTTAACTAAAGCCCACACTTAAATTGTGCTTTGCGCTGAAAGCCTCAATTGACCTAGAGCGCTCTTTAGTGCTTTTCGCCTTTGACAACACTGATACCCTTTCCCAGTTAAAATTATTACTCGCGTCTAATTAGATCTACACATTATTATCAGCCCATATCATAACTAGCCATGGTTCTGAAAATTCTTATTACCACAGGGTGTTTTATCTATCAGAATTTTTGTTTTGGTCAAATGCTGAATTTAGTTTGACATGAAACATTGATGAAGCCAAATGTGTGTTACTATTTTTTCAAGTGTTCAATTTCGTATTTATTTTCTGACAAAAATGCCGTGTTTGGCATGATGATTTAATCAAGAAAAGCGTTTTCTACTGTTTAAGTACCTTTGGACAAAAGCTTATGCAAGATGGAGTCATTTTTCTTTACAAATATTCTAACGCTTACTCCTTATCGCTTACTCCTTATCGCTTCAATTAACAGTTCGACATTATTTTAATATCTAATTATCAAAAATATTATCAAAACACTATTCTCTTATCTTATCCTGCACATTGCATGATTACCATATGTCATTTTTATTTTGCACAAAACCTTGGAAATGATCGAGAAAATGATGACCAGTTGTAAAACATTTTCCGCAAAATATGTTTTTCATGGATTGTCTGTAAAAACTGCACCTTTGAAATGACTTCTTTTAAAGGCGTGAACAATAGTTGTCTGCTCTTCCAATAGCTGCCTAGATGTTGTCAAGTGACTGTTCACTTTCATCAGTTCCTGCTACCCAAAATATCAATTAGTGAGTGAAGATTTTGGGATGAGAAAATTCTATATGTAATTCATTGAGAAGCTTGACATTTTATTTTATCTTTTTAATACTTTCTATTGGTTGGTTTGATAGCAAAAGATCATATTAGAGGCTACAAAGGGTGGTGTCTCTATACAAAAAGAAAATTCGATAGCAGGATATGTGGGATTTGTTGAACTGCAGAGAATGACTAACCCCATCCACTTCTCTCCCTGGGAGGCAGTTTACGGGACTAAACAAGAGGGAAAAAAGGGTTGCCGCAGATATAAGATCTTTCTTATGGTTAAACAGAGTGCAGATTTGTAAGATATAATATTTGGACTGTCAGTTCCTTATCCTCCGTAACCCCAAAGAAAGCATAGCACATCTTAGCAAAATAAAAGGTGTTAGATAAGCTCATTAACGAAAGCAACATCCAGTGCTGCTTGTAGATGCACATTTCGGAAGGCCAAATGCAATCCATCTTTTGCATATATAAGCAGGAATGCCAACATTCAGCAAGGTTTTAAGTAGTACTTACTGCCGCATATGATTCCAAGAAGCCAAATCTAAGTTTGAAGCTTAACAAACTTAAATAAGTGCAGCTATATAACTTGTCGTTTTTACTTGAGCTCCAAATTTGTGGACAGGGAAAGTAATTAAGCGTTTCAAATGTTAATTAGTGGTGCGGACATGGCTTTCATTTTAATGTTGGATTGTAATATGATTTATATTTTGTCCCTTTTTTTTTCGGACACCAGGTAGTGTTGGAAAGTAGTGTCTCTTTTATTTATTTGGCTCAAGGTCGTTACCACTTCACCATGTGCCGTTGGGGTCCAATTATCCAACATTAAAAAGGAGATTGGCATTCAGTGTAATTCTGGCCCTTCTTCCCCCCTCCCTCCCTCATTTTACGGCTCAATATGTATAGGAAACCCAGGATGGATTCCAGGATGGAAGAGTGTCATGCTCGTCCTCTTCATGTTGAGGATCAAAACTAGCTCTGACTTTGATCGTCAGTTTTGTTACTTTTCTGTAGTCTTATGTGTCCTTGCAAATAACTATTAGAACAACATTTCCAAGTGATAGATTTGACTCGTCAACAGCTGCTAGTATCTTGTTTGGGAGATAATGTACCAACACAAAACTAGGATTTCTCATAAGTTAATGGCCTGCCTTATTCTGCAATTAGCCTTTTCCAACCTTTTTTGTTTGATGCAGAGGTGAAGATGAGTGATGCATGGAAGGTTTGTGATGGGGGTGAGAGCAAAGAAGTTGACATTCAGAATAACAGAATCCGTCGAGAGAGGGAAACCATTTACAGGACAGTCCAGGAAATTCCGTTGAACCCCAAGGAACCTTGGGACCGTGAAATGGACCCTGATGACACATTAACCACAGAAATTCCAATTGAGCAATTACCAGACGCTGAAGGTGCTGAAACAGTTGTTTTGCGGCCGGAGGACGAAGAAACTGAAGCTGCATCAGCCAGTACGTCAAATGGCATTGCAACTACAGCGGAACCAGATGTAGAGTTGCTTGCCGTACTGCTAAAAAATCCAGAGTTGGTTTATGCCTTGACGTCTGGCCAAGCTGGAAACTTGTCCGGTGAGGAAACTGTGAAGCTGCTTGATATGATCAAAGCAAATGGGATGAATTCACTGAGCAGTGTAACAGATTTAGGAAGAACTGCTGAGAAGAAAGTTGAAGTTTCTCTTCCATCCCCTACTCCTTCCAGTGATCCTGGAACGGTGCGTTAGTTAGTCACATTTTGTACCACTTCTACGTTTTATGGAATTTGGGCGGGCCTTCTTTTCTTGCATTGCCTCCTCTCTCTCTCTCTATTTTTACTTGCGGACATGCATAACGGCAAGAGTTTCTTCTTCATCTTCTTTGTTTCTTTTTCATCTTCTTTTCTGCTTCACTTTATCCAACCCATTTGAGGTTTATTGGTCGGTTTTCAACTAAACGATGTTATGCGAAATAAACTAAATTACTAAAACAATTATGCATTCAAATAAAGCCCTGCAGATTACGGTGATAAATCCGAAGCTGCCCTTTTTATCCGGACCAAAAAAGGATGTTCTGTTTATCATGATACTACAAAAAATAATGGAGGCTTTAATATCACCAATTAATGCTTTTCATCTTAGTGCTTTCTTGCCATCTTAGTGCTTTTCTGAAACAGTCTTCTAATTTTTTCTTCTTCTTTCGTGCAGAGCGGATCGATGCAGGGCTTTGCTAAAAATCCTTTCTCGCAGAGAAGTTTAATGGCGGTTCCGGAAGCAAATGGTGCAACCCAGCTTGCAGTTTTGGTCCGTTCACAAGAAAAGCTTCAAACTAGCAGCTCAATATATCCGCAGAGTACATCCAGCACAATGTTAGCACCACAGCAGTTGCCGATAGCCCCACAATTGGCCCAACAACTATCACTGCTTCAAGCAGCTGCAGGATCTTTTGGGAAAGATCATCGACTGTCTCCATTAAATCCTAATCTAAACCAGACTGTCCTAGCAAATCCTATGCATTCACAATTATCTGCCTCAGAACCAGCAGTAAATAGAAATAATTACTCTCCCTTTGGTTTGACGGAATACAATCTACACAGTGCCACTGCATCAGCAGCAACCACAAGAATCCAGGGCCAAACATCTGGTAATATTAGATCCTCGCCAATGCCTATAGCTAATGTACAAGAAAGAACTATAAGCCTACATATGCCTCAAATGGCAGTATCACATACACCACCAAGGCCACAGCTACAAACACAGCCACGACCTGGCTACGCACCTGAACATATGTGGGGAACTATGTCGGGTTCTACTCTAAATCGGGGTTATCAAGAAAATTCGATCCCAAACCATTATAATACACGTCTTGCCGGGCATGGAGAACCTGGACTACAACAGGCTGCATGGAGAGGAAACTATGTGGAGGAGGCTGGATTTGAGTCTTGGAGTCCTGATAATAGTCCTGTTAGGCGTCAAGAACAACTAGGAAGATGGAATCACTCAGAACCTAGGATGAATATGAGAGAAAACTACAGATCGGATTGGTCTACATTGCGAAATCCCAGTTATTATTCTGGTTACCATGGTCCTGACGATGGTGGAAATAGAAGGTGGGGTGACAGGAGAAGATAACCCTCAAACGGCTGACCATTTAATTCTTTTGACAAGAGTGATATTTGTTAGTGTTTAGAATAGAATAGGATGTTTTCAAGAGGGGATTTGCAACGTGAGATGGTTGTAAACCTGTTATGTCAGCATGTTACCTCACTTTATTCTGTTTCCCAATTGATACCTTTAGAGTGCCTGTCAACAGCAAAAAGAAGAAAAGAAATTTAGCTCACTTGTAGTCATCCTAGTACATTGGTTAGAAGTAAAAATTATTTGCTAATTGAATTTTTTTTTTCTTCATGAAAAGGATCTTTTGAAAAAGAAATTAATCCTGGCCAAGGGTTTATTGTGTCTTGATTGAGTGGACTACTTTTGATAGCTTGTTGTACAAAACCTTCATCTTTTCAACCAGTGGTTAGAAAAGTTAGTAATTGCTTTACACCTGATGCTATATATCGGACTATATGAAATTCAAAATAATCAGTAGTTATTATACTACTATTAGTACGTAGTTGTCATTGGCAAAAGAAAATGAAGCAATTTTTATTTGGGCTTTCCTTTTTATCGTTCATGGTCGGAGTTAGGCTTAATAACGTGTCAAAGGAACAACTTGAAAATTTTAGGACAATTTAAGTTACGCTTGTTAAATTTTAGCTGCAGCTTCGTGAATTTACTTTTACATTTCATAATCTATATACAAATTACAAAAACAAGAGGGTTTTTTATTGAATTTAAGACGAGAAGAATTTTTTTTGGTGATTACAAACGATTAACTTTTAACGGCGGAAGCCGGTAATTAACTAATTACAACTCCCTGGACAGTCAATCGCTATCTTTAATCACTCTTCATAGGCGACTCAAATCCGAGCAATTCTCCCAAATTTCATAGAACTTCTAAACATGGTAGCTAGATTGATTTCAAGCAATCTAAATCGAATACGAAAAACGTATATATCATCAACTATTAGATACAACAACAATTTCACTCCTCTATATCTATCTCCCAATTTCCAATTCGATAATGATGATTCAGCTACAAGTATGGGGAGTCGCAGCTTTATGCTTCAGAAAAGATGGCATACGGGACATTCACATTCACATCATGACCATGACGACCTCCGCTCCGGTAAAAACGGCGAGAGGATTTTCCGGCTTGGCCTCGCTGCTGATATTGGCCTCGCCGCCAGTAAAGCTTTCACAGGTTATATATGTGGTAGCACCGCCATTATCGCTGATGCCGCCCATTCTATCTCCGATGTGGTACTTATCTACTCATCTGTTAGCTAGCTTTGATCTATAAAATGAACTCCAATTTTGTTCCACTTGTATCTCTTTACCTTACCAAAATAGAAGCGAATCCAGGATTTTAAGTCAGGTGTCAAGAAAAAAAAAATCTGTTTCTTGGTTTATAGAAGAACTAAGGTGGCATAAATATATAGTATTGAAAAAGATTTTTAACTTTATTTATATAGAGAGATCAAATTGTGGTCATATCTATAAGTTAGCTAGTGTTAATCTGTAAAATAAACTACAATTTGTTCCACTGGTATCTCTTGACCACTTGAGAACAATTTGGTTTATGAAGAGGCGAATCCAGAATTTTAAGCTGGTGGCTAGAAAAAGAAAATGATGCTTGGTTTATGAAAGAGCTAACTTCGTGATAGTGGATATAATTTTAACATAAATATATAATTGAAAAAGTAAACTTTTATATAGAGAGAGATCAAGTTGTATGCAGCGGTCTGTCCGTATAAAAACATATTTTAAACAAAATATTAACTGTGTATTTAGAAGTCGAGTTGAATCTAGTGGGTTCGGATGGACCTGCTACCTAACGTTTGCATCTTCCCCTGGAGGTTAGAGTGATGTTGAATCAACTTTGTAAACATTATTGTCTAATGTTCGATTCTGGTCTTTGCAGGTTCTGAGTGGAGTGGCATTGCTGTCGTTTAAAGCTGCAAGGGTTCCCAAGGACAAAGAACATCCTTATGGTCACTCTTGATTTGTATCTACACTTTACTCTTTTGATCTTACATCACTTGGTCTTGCATGATTTTACCTTTTAATTTTCTGTTTACATAACATCAACCTAATTAGATTAAGTTAAGTAAGGGCAGGGTTTGTTCCCATGGGTGATTTGGTAAAATCTAGTCAATATAGAATATCATAGAGCTAACAAGGTATGAATCTAATTTACTTATCAATGAATATGAATGTAATCACTGTCGGCTCCTTGAACTTTGCAACTTAGTGAAAGGCAGAATGCCCTAGAAACATGCACCCCCTCCGTTCATATTTTGTTTGACACACGTTTGATTGGGCGCGGAGTTTAAATATGTACATCTGACTCATATATTATATTACTAGTAGTAGGAAAAAACGTTAAAGTGATGGTTGAAATGCTATTTTGATAGAGAACATAAGTTTATATCAATAGTTAATGAATTTGAATTCTTACTAGATTATTTATTAAAAGCTCAATGTTATCTGATCAAATCATGCTTCTGATTTTGCAACTGAGTTTTTTATTTTATATGAATAGGACATGGTAAATTTGAGACTCTTGGAGCTCTTGGAATTTCTGGTGTACTATTGGCTACTGCTGGAGGTATTGGATGGCATGCTTTAGATGTTTTGCTGGTATTGTACTACTGCTAGTATTTAATATCTCTAGGATTCTATGTTCTCTACTGTTTTAAAATTCTTGGGACATTTGTTGCAGGGATTATGGTCTACAGCGCCCGAAGTTGTTAACCAGTCATTGAGTCATCTGGACGTGCATGAGCAACATCATAGTGGACATCACCATGGAATAGATATGGATCACCCTATTCTTGCTTTGAATGTGACTATACTCTCTATAGCTGTTAAAGAAGGGTAAGAGTCATTTTCACCTTAATCAGAAAAAATAAAAGAACTTGTTCCCTTTTCTATCCTTTTCTGAGATTGTTAATGACCGTAGCAATCTTTATTATTTCCCTTGTTGAATGATGTGGTGGGTTAATCCTGTAAAAAAGGTATATATGTTTATGTTAGTTTACTTTAAAAAAAAGGGAAGATAAGAAGACTTCTGCCCAAATACTGACTGAGCATCACTTTCATTCTATACTAGCGCAAAAGAGTGGGGATTTACCCAACAATTGTGAGGTTTTCTCTCAAGCTTTCCGTCTGGTGATTGCTGCAAGATACTGTTGGGAGATCATCTCTGCCACCCTTTAGCATTAGAAAACTTACATTGGACTTTCCGATAGAACCCTAAAATGTGAAAAAAAGGATAATTGATTGGGTTCCCATTTGTTTTGAGCACATATTTCCCATCGTGCTCCTATGTTTAGAGAAGTTATGCACACACACATATATCTGCTGAGTTGTATTGTGTACAGGTGGGATCCCGAGTTTGTGAAGCAGTTTTATTACTAAGAAAAATAGTTGCTTTGTAGTGATTATAAAAGCGAACAATGAAGTCTCTATACTTCCTGTCAGATGCTCCGACAGTACTGACTACTGTAGAATATGCGTCTACAAATTTCTTTGATTTATCTTTCGTAGGAAAACTAGTTCTTTTTCTGTGAGTTTGTTCCTCTAGATGTGCTCAATCTATATAATTTTTCTTGTAGATTATACTGGATGACAAAGAGAGCGGGGGATAAGATTGGCAGTGGACTGATGAAAGCCAATGCTTGGCATCATCGTGCTGATGCAGTATCCTCCGTCGTTGCTCTCATAGGAGTTGGTAATGACCTTTATACTCAAATTTTACCTACTTATGGCTGGAGACATAAATCTGTTCTTTTAGAAAACAAGTTTCACTGTTTGATTTGTCTAATTGTATCATTGAGGATTAAACAAAGTGTGTGTATGGGATTGCCGTTAAGCATGAGATGCTAATATGTATTGTCATGTTACTGTTAGTTTGGCCTAGCATAGTAATGAGTTTTTACAGTTGTGCAATCGTTTAATATTTTGTGTGGATAATGTGCATTATATGTTTGTAATATCTATCTTTAATTATTAGGGCATAAGTAATTTTTCCCCTATCTTGCCCTTTGAAATACAATGATATATAATCCTGACTATGTAAGAGTTTATAATAATTACTATCGTTATGGTTTATCAAGAACAGTTTATACTTTCATAGCTAGTATGCTTGATAGATTTAACTTCATGCTGGTGGTGAAGTTTTCCCTTCGTTCTATACCAGTATGTTCATTTCTAAGAGGAATCTAGTTCATTTCTAGGAGGAATCTGGATCTAGAACTGGGGCTATTGATTCATCCCATTAACCTTGTCGGCATTTTTTTCCCTTCGTTAGTTCTTAATCTAAAAGCTTTGTTTCCTGGGGAGTGGTGCCTATACTATTTTAAACTCTAATATTAAACTTGTACGCCAATGTTGGGATACATTACTGAAAGACTAAATGATTCAGTGAATTAAAGGAAATAATGTAAAGAAATGTAGACCCACCTGCTAAGTCTGTGTAATCAAACATGGATGTTTCCTATCTTCCAAGATTTATGGTTTCTGTATAAGCAAATGCTTAGGCTCTTTGCATTTCGTTTATTCTGGTGGATTTAGGTTTTATATAATATATATGCTGAGATTTGATCTTTTTGGTAATTAGAAAGACTTCATTATTGTAAATAGACAAGATTATGGTGGTCACCAAGGGGATGGCTTAGTGGTTGAGGCATGAGGTAAATAACCTGGAGATCTCATCTGCTCCAGCTTTGGCAGGAAGGATTACCTTGTCAAGCTGTTTTTGTGGCTGGACATGCTGCCGGTTGATTAGTTGAGGTGTGCTCAAACTGGCCAGAGTACTACCAATATTAAAAGAATAAAAGAGATTATTGTTGGTAGGGTTTCCTTTGGTGTTTACAAGGGTCTAGTAGGGTTTCCTCTGGTGTTTCCTCTAGTATTTTCCAAGGATCCTCAGATCATGATTCCAATTTCCAACTGAGATAAGCTCTCACTTCATTAAAGTTTGGAATTGACCGCCATTTCATGCCAACATTTTGGACCATACATACAATATGAGCCATGAAATAGCCTGTGGTTTGTGATACACGACAAGTTTTAGAACATAAATGTAATCTTTCTCCCCACACTCTCTTGAAGAAAGGGTAATAAACAGAAGTTGGTCGAAAGATGCAGTAGTCATGTTGCTTAGTGTTAGTATATTGTATCAGTTTGACGCCTATTCCTTCGGTCTATCCAAAGTTGAGAGTTCCGTTTGGTATGTTAGCAACAAGACAAAGGCATAGCTGCACACTCTCATGTAGTCATGTTGAACCAGAGAATCCTCCACCATTACATCGTTACTTTTGGGGCATCAGTGCTTGATAATAGTGCTTTACGCTGAATCTTCCAGTAGGGAGGCTAGCCACTCAAAGTGTCCTCACAAACAGGGTAAGGGCTGAATTTAAGGCCTTTTTAAATCTGTCTCAAAAAATAGTCTATATCTTCTTTTGCATTTTCAGTTTGTTCCATCGGTGGAATCTTGAACCTGGAATTTAGTAATTAAGCCGAATGACTCAGGGGGTCACTAGTGAAGGAGGACCTAGTGGGTGCAGTGGTACGTAGGCCTACATATTGTACCAGTAGAAAAGATAGTTGCAGGATTTTAGTCCATTTCCAAGGGCAGTCATTTCACATTAGGGTACTAATTTCCCTAAGCTTCTAGCCTTTAATATCACATTGATGATCTTATCCAGAAAGTGCATTTTTGCAGAAGAAGACTGGATTTATCTCGGAATAACAGCTTTATCTGCAGTACTGAGTTGGTAGGGCCAAGTCCTCTCTCTTTGTGGGTAGAACATACCTCCTCCCATCTTTCTTTGGTTCCAGTGGTTTTAGGCTCATATCCAGTTGAAGGGGAAGTGTGAAATGTTTTCTTAATAGCTCTCAGACATTCTTAGGTAAGAGAAGCAGGTAGTACACATATTTGAGTATCAACAATTACGTTTTTTTGATAAGGTATCAACAATAATGTCTTTGATATGCTGCACCCAAGGGTGTGGCCTAGTGGTCAATGAAGTGGGTGAGAACCATGAGGTCTCAGGTTCAAATCCCAGCGGAGGCACACTAGGTGATTTCTCAAGCCTTGGTGGATAGAGTTACCTGGTACCTGTTGCTAGTGGGAGGTGGCAGGTATCCCATGGAATTAGTCGAGGTGCGCGCAAGCTGGCCCGGACACCACTGTTATAAAAAAAAATAATGTCTTTGATATGCTATAGTGTAGCTGCATATGAAGCCTTTTATTTTCCAAGCTCTTAACTCTTTTTATGATCTTCTTAGTAACCACATTACAATAACGGGAATCTAGAGCCACCCAGATATTTCACAGGGAGATAGTCAAGCTACAAACTGACAATGTTACATAATCTGTGGCATTCTTCCTCCTCATTTTCAGAGATATATGTTGAGACCTCTATAGGTTACATACTAATCCAGAGAGAGTGCTCTTTTATAAGATAAAGGATCTCTCAGATGCTTAAGCTAAAATGAAACTGCAGCAGGACATGAGGATGATAAAAGGTTTAGTTTAAAGTCTCTGTGTGAAAAGGGAAGAAAACCTCCATAACCAAAGAGCTCTAGGGTAAAGTCTATGATATTTTAATGGGAATGTATTCCTTAAAATTCAATCCAAACTATTCGAAGTCAATGTTTTATCTAAAAGCTTGTAGAAGTGAAACAAACCTTTGAATTGAAACTAAGTCAGTACTAGCTTAGTCAACTGAATGAGCTTTTAATGTGGTTGATTAGAAGATGTCTCACTTTTTAAATTGAACTCTTCATGAAATTAGGTGGTTCAATCCTTGGGGTGAGGATCCTTGATCCACTTGCTGGGCTTGTTGTTGCAGGCATGATCATGAAAGCTGGACTTGAAACCGGATATCAGAGGTATATCGTCCAATTACTGAGCTATTTAAATTTTGCGTTCCTGATCATCTCTTCTCTTGTTAAACCTGTGTAGATCTGAGATATGTTTGAAGATGGGAAGGGTATAAACTTAACCCTTCATATCTTCATTGTTGGTTGGGCACTTGAACAACAAGAAATAAAGCATGCATTCTTTACCCCTTTTGTTGGAGTAGTTTCTAAGGCAAAGGTTGGTTGTTGTGGGTCGGTGTGTGGTTTTTCAAGTCTCTGACTCTGCTCTCATTAGTAACTGAAAGACATGCTTTGTTGTCATAGAAAAGTAGGATTGATCTCTCCTTTGAGCTTCAGTGGGCACTAAATTGTGGAAGTGGTCGTCCTTGAGCCAAGGGTAAACTTGCATGCTTTGGACAAGTTGAAGGTTATAGTTGACCATATTAGGTTTATTTGAGGATTGGAAGTGTAATTTATGTTATTGTTGGAAGCTGGTCTAACTTAGTTAAGACTTTTCCATAGGATGTAACGTTGATATTAGATATGCTAATGGTTATCTTTTTACATCGGGTGATATTAATGTAATATTGATATTAGATGTGGTAGTGGCTATCTTTTAACATCATGTAGTCTTAATTTATTTTTGAAATATACACTCTAGAAAGACTTCAACTCGCCATTTGCAAGTTATGGATGTTCTTACTGATAAAAAGAAGTTAATGGATATTCTCCATACGGGGTCAATTCGTTTCCAAATAGTAAAATAGTGTTTAAAAGATTAATGTTATCTGATCCGCTTTCTTTGGAGGTTACCAGTGCTTTAACTTGACCATTGTACCAATCCATTTTCACATTTAGCTCATCTAAACTTATAGTGTCTTGGAATTGGTTGATGCTGCTATTCCTTCACATACCCTGAAGCCTTTCAAGCGCATGATTCTACAAGTTGATGGAGTTAAGGCAAGTCATTTTCTTGCTAGGAAGTTGATTTTATTTTTGTTCCTTGACTTTCATTCATATACTACTTTATCAACTTAGTTTTGTGTCTTTTTGATGTTGATCCTGTTGACAGCAATTCCTTTCTCCCACCTACTGGACGTTGATACTGTTGTCAGAAATTCCCTTCTCCCACCTACTTGTCAGCACTTAATTATGTATGCTTATGCGATATTTGAGAAACATGAGTTGATGGTTTAGAGTACTCCATTTTGATGACTTTACCTTGGGACTGTTCCAGATTGTTGTTCAATTGCTTGTAGACTAAATTTGTCATCTCCTCCATCACTATAGTCTTCCATGTGCTTTACTCTTATTTCTTATATTTTACTATGATGTTTGGGAAACTTAATGTTTAAACGATAGTTTTTATGCACTATGCACATTTTCCTCCCGCTTACTTTTGTTGGTGACGAAGTTTTCTGTATATCTGAGAATGACATCAATGAATAAACAGCTTTTTTGACCTGTACAGGGATGCAGTCACCTGAGGGGAAGGAGGGCTGGTTCATATCTCTATCTTGATGTTATTGTTGAGGTAGTTCGCATGTCACGTTAAATAGTTCATAGGGATATTCCCCTATCATAATTTATTTACCTTGTTGATGTCCTGTATGATTATCAGATGTGTTATACAGCTTCTCAGGCAGATTTAAAGTGCATTTGGTAAATGCAGGTTGACCCCTTTTCTAGTGTGAGTGCCGCACATGAAATCGGGGAAAACGTCCGCCGTGAAATCCAGCAGTTACATCCCGAAATTGCCGAAGTCTTCGTACACATAGGTACCAATGACTTTTCTCACATCTGCAGATGTTAATGGAGGCTTCAGAATTGTTTATAGTAGTAGTTGCGAAATGCTAAACAAATGAAAACCTAAAAAAAGAAAAAAGAATACGTTGTCAAAACCCGGAAAGCTGAACATTGTTGGTTAGAGTGTTTCAGCACGTTATTTTTTCGCTTTTTCTGTGTGTTTGGTGGGGGTAGTCGAGAGACCTCAAGCCATGGGCTAGGTATATATCAAGTTGTTGGCCCAGTTTAGCATTAGCTCATGATCTGCGGGTACATGCAACTTCTTCCGATCTGTCATCTCATTGCTTTACGCATCACTATATCATTTATTGTCACATGCAGTCTTGTCTACATGAAAAGATATTAACATTTGCAGGCTAACTTTTTATTTGATTGTTGTTGCTAGCTAATAATGTTGAATCCAACTTGTAGAGCCATCCACTATACACATTCCACCAACTGTTGTGTTTCAGCAGAGGGCTAACACAATGGGTGCCCCCCAAGACCATTCTTCAATGGAGCTCGCAGACATTGAAAATAAAGTTTACAACATTTTATCTACAAACTATTCTCAGGTATCTCTCCCTTTCTAGATTTTCTTCTCAGTTCTTTATCCCAAAGAGAGGTTGTTGGCATTTTGCCTGAGGCTTCGCAGTTGTTCTCTTTGACCCCTTTGTGCACTTTAGGTGTTCTAATTCAACTTCTTTTGTTACAACATATGCATTCTAGTGACAGACCAAATTTATTAGTTCATACATTTAGAAAGACAAAACAATCACCAAGATACGCCTAACATCTACCAACTTAATTTCCTTGCCCTTCTTTACTGCGATGGAATGACCACCACACTGCACATCTTGACATGGGATACTGTTTATTGATTTTACAGAAGATGATAATTGAGCGTGTAAATCCACATCTGTTGCAAGGACAGATTTTACTTCAAGTTGAAGTTTCTATGCCTCCTGATCTCTTGATTAGGTACACTACTCAAAGTGCTTCACCTGGGGGGCATCAGATCTTTGTGTGCTTTCTGTATAATTCTCTCATTAATTTTACTTGGAACTGCTTGTTAATTTTCCAGGGATGCGGAAAAAGTTGCAGAAGAAGCAGAGAAATTAATCATAGAGGCAGCACCAGATATTGTTCATGTGTGCATTCAGCTACGCCTAGGGCAACCTATGCCAGAGCCTTACAAGGAATGGGTGGACAGTAGAAGTGAGAGGAAAGATAACTGATTTTACATGTATACGCCCAGATTTTGTATACTGAATAAAAGAATTCCAACTCGAAAAACCAGAAAACTACACTCAGTAATTACAGGTAGCATATTTAAACTGATCTCATACACATTCCATTGAGGCTTATGTTAATATAAACAATCTGAGGCTATTCCGTTTAAAACAATTTGGAAAGGTGTTCTTTTGCCGTTGTCAACTTAAAAAGTTTTCTATTAGGTTTAACAGTGATTGTTTCGAGTTGGTTTAACTCAGAGGGGGTTCATTAATTGTTCTAAAGTTAATTGTAACAATGTCTAAAATAAACCTTTACTAATTAATTTTGAATAGAAGGGAGTGAAAGTTTGATCGTAATCAAATATCTGTCTTTTGGTGGTGCAACAACATTTATTGCCCTTGATTGGACAGTAAATTAAAATACTTCCTTTTAGGAATGTTTCCAGAAACATAAATATTTTGTACAAGGTAAAATCTTGTTCTGGTGTCTCACATTCCTTGAATTTGAAGTTTTGAACATCAGCGAATTGAAATAACGGAGTTCTACTGAATATTTAAAACAAATACAAACTGTAGTCCCACAAAGGGGTCCGAGAAGGGTAGAGTATAAAGGCTACTGAATATTTTAAAAAAAAAAATCAGGGTTAAACAAATAAAGAAAGAAGTGTTGAACCATTGATCAGATAATTGTAGTCTGGATGATTTTTGGGATCGACATATAAACTTTACTGAATCGGATATCATCACTTCAATGGTTCAAAAGGATAAACATAAAACTTTTTAACACCGTATTCTAAATTTTGTTCTTATCTTTTTTCTGGTACAACAAAAGGGTAATGCCACCTTTTAACTTTTACCTAATTTTGTTCTGATCTTTTCAAAATGTTCTCATAAGACTAAATTTTAGATGCAATCTGTATAATGCTAGCTTTTAGTTTTTAAATAATACATTGTTCTGGTTTCTCACATTACTGGAATTTGAATAATTGAAAAAAGTTTGAAAATTACTGAATATTTCCAAGTGTATAAATCAATGAAAAACTAAACAGCTAAAAAGGTAGCAATAAAAAAAGATAGTTTGAAAACAAAGAGAAAGGAGGTAAACCATTGATCAGATAATTGTAGTCTGGATGATTTTTGGAATCGACATATATACTTTCCTGAATCGGATATCATCACTTCAATGGTTCAGAACAATCCAACACAAAATGAATTTTGAAAAATCTATAAAAAAAAAAGCGAAACGAAAATTCAAAAGTTGGGAAGAAAATATGAGTAGGCTCAGAAGGATCCATTGGTTATGTTATTAATCACAGACGGAGAAAATCTCCTATCAGCAAATAGGTAGATTTGAGCATCATAGCCTACTCATCGATCTCTTTTATTTCACAAACAGAAAAATAAAAATCAGATTAGTAAAAGCAACTTAAAGAAAAAACCCCAAAAATCACTAGCGTGCCTATGCAGAAACATTATAGAAGATGGAGGTATTCACACAAGTGGAGAAGATAATGAAGCGGTGAATTAACGGAGTTTTAGAACGCTATATATAGGTGCTTGCCACAATAATTAGGGTTTTATGCCCTGTTCATATACGCTTTGGTCTGACTGGGCTTTCGGTAGATACGGCCCATCTTGGTTGGACAGCGGGCTAGATGATTTGGTCTGCCCGGGCTTTTTATAGACACGGCTCATTTTTATAGCCGCTCAACTCGTCTCTTAAATTAAAAATAGATGTTGATTGTGTAATATATGCATAATTTATATATAATATATGTATAATTATATATAATTAATGTATAATCAATATATGTCGGCCAGTGGCAGAGGCGGGATATTTGCGAAGGGGATTCAAAAATTTTAAAAATCAAAACACAATGAAGCCAACCAAAAAATAAATAAAAATAGATGATAACATATTTCATTAATAAAAAGAGAAGTTCTTAGCACAAAGATAGTGTTAAGATAAACAGATCATAGTAACAAGACTTTCAAAAGAGAAAAAATCAAAAAATAAGTCTTGTGTTAGTTACAAGGACCTAATGAGATAAACAAAAAAATAACTATGTACATTACTACAACTGCACTCGACAAGGTTTCATATTTGAAATGTTTTAATAATAGCATCATTAGAAATACTATCAAACATATTTTTTTCTACATAAGGCACCAAACAACCGCTAAAGAATTCATCATTCATTCGACTTCGTAAGTCATTGTTGATAAGCTTCATCGCCGAAGAAACTCTTTCGACGGATGCAGTAGCAACTGGCAGAAGCAAAACAAATTTCACTAAGCGAAATACAAGAGGATAATTTGAATGCTTCTTTGTTTGAACTAATCTTTTTGAAAGATCACAAAGCCTATGTAGGTCGGAGAATCTTTCATGAACATCAATAATATAACTTGCAAGTTGATTCTCAAGAACGCCCACACTAAATTCATCATGATATAACTCAGCCATTCTTATTATTTTTCTGGTGTTAAAACTTGAAAATGAGTTAAGGATTCAAGCAAGCAATTCCACGAAGCAAATAAGTCGTCACTTCGTCAAAACGTTCATTAAGTTCTTAAATTTTCCAATCAATAATTTTACAAAATACTTCAATCCGATAATGATGTGAGACTGTACAATCAACAGGTTTACGGCATGATCTTAAAGAACTAACATATGGCTCATCAAAGTGAGGTATCAAAATATCATATTTGATACAAAATGCAGATATCTTAACAATAAGAAATTCTCATTCTTCTTCCCTTAAATTTTGCAACCTTTTCCTTGCTGCTTCAACAAGTAGCATGGCGTTTGCAATGTCTTGCTCTTTTTTGTAAGTATTTATTGAGCTCGTTTGTGATTGCTAAAATATCTCATCAAACGCAACATGAATGCAACCTCAAATGTTTGACAAACCCTGAGATATCCCATTGCCTTGGCTCTTTCATCTGTGGAATGTGCATCAAGAACAAACGATTCAAGAATATCAAGAATAGAGCCAAACATCATAATAAAATTATTAAAAGATTTAAAGTGAGATCCCCAACGAGTATCACATGCTCACTACTAAAAACGCAACATTTTTCCACAAAAATTTCTTACAAAAAATTTATTAGTGGCAATTCCCACTGAAATTCAATGAGAAAATTAAAATTTCTTTTCGAGGAAAAGACAATAACGTTTCCCATTGACTATCCGTGGGAATGTTTAGGCACAAAAATATGTGTAATTTAGTTCCCTTTGATTCTGTTCTAAAAGTCATTAAAAAATAATTATATAAAACTGAAAAAAATTCTCAGGGAAAATAGTGAGAAAATAAAAAATAAATAAATAACGTTTTTAAATAGTTCCACGGATTCCGTGTGAATGAAATTTTTTGAATTTTTTATGTTTGTGTTTTATGGAAAAGTTTTCCCACGGAGATTTCTCAGGGAAGTAGTGAGAAAGTTTTATTACTATTCACATAACCTTTTAGTTTTCTCTCAATTTATTTTGTGTTTTCTCCTTCTGTCTCTCCACTCCAACGACGAATTCTTCACTTCACTCCATTCCCAGACAAGTCTCTCTCTCTCTCTCTCTCTCTCTCTCTCTCTCTCCCTTCCTCCCTCTCTCTCTCTCTCTCACACACACACACACACTCACTCAGCCTCTCTTTTTTCGATTTTGATTTTTTGAAACTTAGGGATTTTCTATTGTTTCAAATCCTATGTTTGAAAAAATTATTGTTGTTCTCTTGTGCATGTATAGTCTAATTAAACCTACGTCTTTATTTGTTTCATCTTAGAAATATTGAATTTGTTAAAAGACAATATTGGGTTGGTTTATTCTTGTTAGTTTGGTTTATTTTTTAGGTCTATTTTTAATATGGCTAGGTGCTAAGCCTTTACAGGCTTTCTTCACAAACATGGAGAATTAGAAAGATTTCTATGTTGTACATATCAAAATGAGGAATATTTTCTTCCTTGAGAACTGTAAAATAATGTAACTTTTATTTAGTGAGCTTGTAGTGAACGACACCGTTGATTTACTTCGTTTTTGAAGTTTAAGTGTACAAATTTAATGTTTCAATCCAAGTAATCCAAAAAAATTAATTGATGTTTATTTGCAACCTTTGATTGATGAGCTAAAGTTATTGTGGTATGAAGGTGTTGAAACATACGACATATCAACTAAATAAAATTTTATGGAATGTTATCTGGATGGTCGACTATCGGAAAGTTAGCCATCCTTGCTCTATGGAAGACACAAAATCATTCACTTTGAAACATGGAGGTAAGAACACATGGTTTGACTATCACCATCAATTTTTGCCGATGGATCATGAGTTCAGGAGAAATACTAGTACATTTATGAAGAATCGAACTGATTATGATGAGCCACCAACAACCTTGTCAGAGGAGAAAATTTGGAAAAGGGTTAAGAATTTTCCTAATTAACAGAGTCTCCATTGCTTAAACTACCTGGTTATGGTGTTGTGCATAATTGAACTAAACAAAGCATATTTAGGGAGTTACTGTATTGGAAGCATAATCTTCTTTGACATAACTTAGATGTCATGCATATTGGAAAGAACTTTCATAACCTGTTTCATACTGTAAAGGATGACAAGCATAGGACAAAAGATAATTGATACCAATACTACAAGTTCTCCCGCTTGAAGACATTTCTTAGAAACCGCAACAAGGGTAAGTTGAAGTGGATGACCAAAATAATGGATGGGATGAGCCGATCTACTCTTTCGCTTAATCAACCTTTTAAGACCATTAACTTACCTTGTATATTGATTTCCCCATCTTAACATTGCCCCTACACATATGATAGACGTAAAGAGTGTTGAGCAAGTAAATTAACAATTGCACTCTTCAGAGATGAAGCACTAGTGAGAGGTTACATGTACTTTGGTTATAAGTATTTTACTTTATGTTTTGTTGATCTAACAAACTTACTATCCAGAACTAGATAAGGAATCTGTTACACATTTACAAGACCTCAAGTTCACAAGATTCCAGTTGGGACTCAGCGTGGAATATGATTCAACTCCTTAGAGTGGAAGGAACAGTTGAGGGACCAGGTCCCTACTAGTTCCCGAAGAGACTATACGAAGTCAACTCCGCAGCTGGAAAGTTGCTGCCTGCACACACTACTGTGCAGAACAGTGCTGCAATCAATTTTTCAGA